GGGCTTATTTATTTAAGTGCAGATTCCTTTCTTGCCCCTTTTGGGGGATGTGGCTCCAGTGCAGGCCATTCCTGTCCCCCACCTGGGATGGGTCTCAGGAGCTGTGCCCCCTCCCGCCCAGTTGCCTGCCCCTCTGAGCCTGGGCACTGGCTACTTCTAGCTCTTCCCTCTCAGGCAGGGCAGCAGAGCTGGGCATGACCTCATCCAACAACCGGGGCCAAGGTGGGGCCACCTGGCCAGGCCTGGACACAGTGTCAGCAGTGCTGTCTCCTCCCCAGATCAGCTTTGAACCAAACTGTGGGTCTGGGGCCCAGGGAGATGGGAACCCACTGCTGCTCACACATCTCTGGAAGTTGAGCTGCGTCTGACCAGGTGGATATTGATGCTGGTGGGAGAAAGGATGAGGAGAACAAGCCCTGGAAATAATTATGTTTTCAGTCCCCAAATACCGAGCACCTACGCCACACTAGGCACCATTCTAGGTGCTGGGATGCAGCCTTTAACTAGACAGACACGGCCTAGCCATCAGGAAGCTGACATTCTAGGGCGCTGTAGGAGACAGGGAGTGGCCGAGTAGCAAATCAGCAGATGAAGAGGCAAACCCTATAGTGATATGTGGGGACAGTGAAACTGGGTGTTGCGATAGAGGCTGACTGGGGAGCTCCTTTGGCCAGCGTGGTCTGGGAAGACCTCTCTGAAGTGACGGTCTTTGAGCTGAGACATGAATGATGCAGTAGAATGAAGCTTGGACCATCTGAGGGAATAGAGTTTTAGGCAGGGAACAGCAAGTGCAGTGATCCTGCGTGGGTAGGAGTTAGGCATGTTGAAGAACAGAAAGAATGCCACCCCCGGGGGAGATGAGGCTGGACGGGTGGGCAGGCCACCTGGAGAGAGCGGAGTGGCAGTGGTGTGGAGACACAGCACCACTTTCCTAACTGGAGGGCTGTTCACATGTCCTCTCCTCCCGCCAGTCTTCTCTGCCCAGTTCGGTTTTTTTTTTTTAATAATTAATTTATTATTTATTTTTGGGTGCATTGGGTCTTCGTTGCTGTGTGCGGCTTTCTCTAGTTGCGGCGAGCGGGGGCTACTCTTCGTTGTGGTGCACGGGCTTGTGGCTTCTCTTATTGTGGAGCTTGGGCTCTAGGCGCATGGGCTTCAGTAGTTGTGGCTTGTGGGCTCTAGAGCTCAGGCTCAGTAATTGTGGCTCATGGGCTTATTTGCTCCACAGCTTGTGTGATCTTCCTGGACCAGGGCTCGAACCCGTGTCCCCAGCATTGGCAGGCGGATTCTTAACCACTGTGCCGCCAGTGGACCCCCACCCCGTTGGTTTTTGATCTGTCTTTGCCACCCATCTTGGGACCTGCAGTGTTTCAGGTGGTGGTTGCTTGTGGGGATTTGCATAGGTGGAGGTCAGGGGTGGGGCCATCTGGGGAGGGGATGACCTCCTCCTGGCCCCTGATAATAATCACACAGGTGTAGAGAGGACCAGGCAGGTGATGGGAAATGACCCTCACGCCAGAGAGAATCCCGCCAATGGGATCTTTGCGGGGGGTGGAGACAGCGAGCCGTCAGTGAGATGGTGTCCAGGTAGGGCTGTCCCTGAAGCCCTGATAAGATCTGATCTGTCATGGGGTGGGGAGGCCCAGCCAGGCAGGCAGCCCCTCCCGCTCAGTCATTGGTTGCCAACAGCAGCGGGTAGCGTTTGTTCTGGAGCCAAAGCCTCCAGGCAGAAATCGAGGTGCAGGGAGGGGTGCTTAGATGGCTGCCACATGGGGCAGGTGAGCAGGGAGCCGCTCCCCACCCCTCTGCTGGGCACCAGGGAGTCTCATTACCACTCCGCACAGGACACCTGCACTTCCTGGGAGAGGGGGGCTCCTCCTCTTTCTGGAGGAGCCAGCGGTGGCCTGGTCCAGGGCGGGGACGATCTCTGGTTGAGCAGCTGCTTCGATGCCAGGTTGGGAGGAGGAACGGGGGTCCCTGCTTCCTACCGCAGTGCTGGGGGGGCTGCTGGGCGTCCTGCGTAGCCCCTCTGGGTGCTCAGAGCTGACCTTGCACACCTGAGACCACAGGCCCTCTCCAGTTAGTGGGGCCTTTTCCCCTGCTCTAGGCTCGTGAGAGGCAGATCTGGTGGTTGTTCAGGAGTGATGGGGAAAGTGGCCCCAGGTGCGGCAGGGCGGGGGCTGCCTTCCCAGTTCCTGGCCTGCTGAGCTCAGCTGCTCTCCGCCCCTTGATGCCTCACTGGGTCCGCACAGGCTCAGTCTGGGGGCCATTTCTGTTGCTTAACACAGTGCAGTCCCTTTGGGGCATGGGTTGGCTCTGGGTGCCCCCTCTCACCTTGTCCCCATTGACCATCAAACTTGTGAGTCTGCCTATTGGCTCTTCCCCCTCTCTCCCTCCTTCCCAACTCCCCTTTGCTCTACACTTTGGGCCCCAGCGTGGGTCTTGCTCTTGCATATTCATTAGGGACTGAGTAAGGTCAGCACCACCTGTGACTCCAGGCCAGTGTGGGCTGCCAGGCCCTTTGACACCCAGGCTTCCCCTGGAAGGTTGCTCTTCCCAGTGGTTTGTCTCTGTGGGTTTATTTCTAGGGCATGGGGTGTGGGACTGTGGACAGACATGGCACAGGTGCTCCTGAGAGCTTGGTGACAGCAGTCACTCAAGGGGTGCTGCTGAGAAGGTAACTGGTGGAGCCAGGAAGGAGCAGGCCTGCACTGGACAGGTGGAAGGCTGGGTTAGGGTGCTTTCACAGCCCTCGGCTGGGCAGCAGCTCTCACAATAAAAACAGCCCTTGGGGTTTTCAAGGCAGAAGCTCTGGGTCCAACGTGGGCAGGCAGGTGCCTCATAGATTCATTTCCTCATTTAAAATAGGTGGATTTATCCTCATTTTTTTTTTAACTGATGGGGAAATTGAGGCGCTGAGGAGTTAAGTGGCTTACGCAGGACCACCTGCCAGTTCGATTTATGTTCCTGGCTGGGCCACATCTATGGCTGCCTTGGATGAACCCAGGGGCCCCGTGTTTGCTGTAGGTGTGTTCTGAAAGGGGCCTTCCATGCTGTGGACCCTCAGCCAGTAGCCAGCCAGCTGGCATCTTGGAGGGGGCTTTTACGGAGCTGGTCCTCGCTGTGGGGACAAGGCAGCCCCAGGTGGTGGAGGCAGAGCTGGGAAAACTTACTCTTCTTTGAGTGCCAGCACCCAGGTATGGCAAGGATGTTGGGGGTCAGTGCTAGGGAGGGTACCCCACGCTAGACCTTATAGGAGGAAAGCAGACCACCTGGGTGTGGAAGGGTCTCGGCCCCCAGGGAGCTGGGATAGAGCGAGTGGATGGGCAGGGAGGCCACTGAGGGGTGCCGAAGAGGCTCTTGGGGTGCAAGGGGCATAGGGAGCACTACCGTCTCTGTCCCTCTGCCTGTTTTCGTGTGCTCACTGGGGTAGTCACATCTATTCCTTGTTAGGGACTCGACAGGCCTCCAGAAGATTAATTAATGCCAAGCTGCTGGCAGCTCCAGCAGGATGCTTGCCCCAGGGCCCTGTCCTGGCAGCACAGATGCCCAGCTGACCCCAGAAATACTGCTCCGTTCCCACCCAGCAATCCTGGAGACACGGGGGGCCATGTTGCTGGCACAGCCCTGCCTCTGAGCCTGGATGGCAGAGAAGGCTTAGGTGGTGGCAGGCAGCCAGAGCCATGTGGCAGGGCATTCCACCCCCAGGCCTGCCTCCATCACCCACTCCAGAACTTATTTGTCCCTGGCTGAACCATGGGCTTGCTGTGTGACCTTGGCCATGCTGCTTATCCCCTCTGGGCAGCTTTCTTTTCCCCAACTGTAAAATGATGTAGAATGGATGTTGGACTGGGTCATCACTGAGACACCTGCCCCCTAAGTCTGAGTCTTCGTTATCTGGTAATCTGCCTGATTCTGAGAGCCCCTGACGGCACCCCTTTTCCCGATGCATATTGGCTGCCCCTTGGTGCCCCTCAGTGTGGTCCAGCTTTGTCCTCTGCCCCAAGCCCAGGTGACTGCTAGTTCTCCATGTAATTAACTCCTGCCTGTGCTCAGGACGTGGGGCACCGCAAGTCCTGGCCAGACCCAGTGCCCTCACAGACCAGCCTGACCTTCCCAGCGCCAGGGCGAGGTGACCACCTCCAGCCTGCCCAGCACATTCCTCAGGCTTATCTGAGAGCCCGCCCCACTGGACTCTGCCCTCCCACCCAGGAAGCAGCACCCAGACGAGCTGCTGAAGAGTTCCAGGGGCAGAGAGCAGGGCCTGAGTGGGCTTGAGGTGACGATTCTCAGCCTCTTGCCTGGAGCTGAGGAGAACCAGGTATAGAACGGGTTGGGGCAGAGGGATTGGGGGGGTCTGCTGAGACTGACAAGGCAAGTTGTCTAACCTCGGGGAGCATGGGTCCCAGAATCTGTGCCATCTCCCAAGAGCCCCATCTCTGGGAAGGCTTTCCCGCGTGGAGCCTCCTGTGCACAGGAGGGGGGCTTGCTCTAAGTCTACCCCTAAGTTGTAGCAGGAGATAGGGCCCGACAGCAGCTCGGGGCCACCTCCTTTCCTCTGCCCGCACCTCCACAGCAGGAGCCGGAGACAGTCCTCCCAGGAAGGGGTTAACCGCCAGCCCCAGCCGTGAGGGAGGGGACTGGGCTGGACCATTTTCCTCGTAGCTGCCTCCACCTCGGTTTTCCTGAATGGTTCTGTCGTCCTGGGGTGGGGAGGGAAGGGAAGGAAGGGCGGGCTGAGGGAGGAAGGGAGGGAGGAGTGTGGGGAGAGGAAGGAAGAAAGAGCGAGACAGCCAGGGGAAGAGAAAGATGTCACTGTGTAATCTCCCTGCCAGTTTTACTTCCAGCAGGCTGCGGGCGAAAGAGCTGCTAGAACAATGCTGAGGCAGCCCCGACGGAGTATCTCGAACAGGTGATCGGAGGAGCCGGGAAACCGAGGCCACCTGGGCATCCCTCCCCTTGCCTGGGCCGGCCAGAGCCTCAAAGACGGTGGAGAAACCATGGCGACCAATTTCAACGACATCGTCAAGCAGGGCTACGTGAAGATGAAGAGCAGGAAGCTTGGGGTGAGCCACCTCCAGGGGGCCCTGCCAAGGAACTTGGTCTGGCGCCTGGTGGCGTGTCCGGGGTGTGCGGCTGCCCGCCTGTGGCCCGGCATCGTGCATTGCTGGTCTCGAGGCTTCTGGCCAGCGGGCTGCCCAGCATGTGCCTGGGCCCGGCTCTGCCTGCTGCAGCTCCCGCCCCAGCCGGGCTGGCTGGCTGGCATCCCAGCGGCTGGGCCAGCGGTGGCAGCCGATGGGCAGGCGGCTCCCCTGCTATTGTTGAAGTTGTCGCCAGGGCAGCGGCTGGAAATGCCGGGCTGTGTCCGAGCTGAGACCGGCTTCTCACTTCCCCTTGCCATCACCTCCTCGTTTCCTTCCTCCCCTCTCCTGGCCTCTTTGCTTTTAAGTACCTCATCTCCCCTGCTTCCCATTGCTTTCTGTGTACGGGCGTTTATTTATTTATCTTTGGTGGTTGCTTTTCCATTTAAAAAAAGCATTTGAGAAGGAGAGTGGTTGGTTGCTGCTGGGGGGGGGGGCAGTGGGGGGAGGGGGGCGGAAGCCGGTGTTTCCGCGGTTTATGAGAGGGAACCTGGCTGGGCT